ACATACAAAAATTAAAGATAATTATAAGGAAACTAATTGTCATATTAGGGATACTTTATTGAAGCATTTATTCAGATTCCGGCACTACTTCTGTAGACATCCTCTTTAGCCATCACGTGATCCCCGACAACATCGGATCACCACTGAGACAATCATCAGGAATACGATCCCCAGGAATACGACCCCCAAACTAATCGCCTCCGCAATCAACAGCCAATCTATGAGACAATTAAGACGTTAGCCACTGACATCAATGATACTATCAATGGATCCTAAGATGTCCGATACCCTGCTGACACAGTACGGTACCCCCAAAGCCCCGGTAGGCATCGCAATAACCCCATGGGTATCCTATCCTTATGGCCGTCTTAACGTAATGGTCGGCCAGTTGTCTTATCTGAGTGTTGCCGCATTTGTCGCCCACGTGTTCAACGATACAGTCCTTCAGGTCATTGCAGGCGCAACAGTAGCCGCGGATCTGGTTTTGGGAGTCTTTGATTTCTTGGATGAAAGTGTCGTTACAGTGAGCGATGTCTGACATAGAAGTGGTGACGCAGATGACTGTCTCATTCAAGTCATAGCCATTAACCGCAACGGACGCGCATATTATCATAACTATGATCAGTTGTGAGCACTTCATGGTAAGGGTGTTGTGGTGAAGACTTTTGGTGATCACGTTGTGGTGATATGTATGTAGGAAGTGGTGACTGAAATGACTGCAAATCAATGCCTGCCTATGTGTGTGTCATAAGTAATCATAGCTTACTCATTGTATTTTACTCGTTGTAGTCATGTTGAACCATTGAATTAACCTAGACACATATTATCAGTAACAATAAATGTATAACTCATGAAAAATCCAAAAATTACAAATTGTTTCATACAAACAAATGTGATTTAATAATCACACAAAGTATATAAACCCTAACAATAAACTAATACAAAAAAGTCAAGTTTTATATTATAATAATCAGTAAATCTATTTAGTATTGAGTATTAAAAGTAATGTTAAATGTATTGAAAAACGCATTAATTCTTACGAAAAATATTTTAAAAATAAACACAAAATAATTATAAGGAAACTAATTGTCATATTAGGGGTACTTCTAGACACGGGATCAGGATCTCATGGTTTTGCTGACATCCTGTACCACTACTGCTGGAGATGCCTTCACTCCCTTAATTGCCACAAATCTCTGACCACCGTTGAGACAATCACCAGGAATACGATCACCAAACCAATCGCCTCCGCAATCAACAGCCAATCTATGAGACAATTAAGACGTTAGACATGATATCAATGGTGCTATCAATGGATCCTAAGATATCCGATACCCGGCTGACACAAGGCCCAAAGGCCCGGAAAGGTCCGGTAGTCACGGCAATCACCCGATGGGGTCATTATCTGTTTGGCCGCCTCAACGAAAGGGTCCACCAATTGTCTCATCTCATTGTCACCGCACTTGTCGGGCACGTGTCCAACGATACAGTCCTTCAGGCGATTCAAAGCACAGCAATAGCCACGAGTCTCGTAGTTCTTGAGGACCTGATTCTGGGAGTCGTGGAGCTCTTGAATGAAAGTGTTGCCACACTTCCCGATGTTTGGCATAGAAGTGGTGGCGCAGAGGACGGACACATTATAGTCATAGCCATTGACCGCCACAGACGCGCATATTATCAATGTTATGATCAGTGGTGAGCACTTCATGGTAAGGGTACGGGTGGTGAATACTGTTTTAGTGATCACGTTGTGGTGATATGTATGTAGGAAGTGGTGACTGAAATGACTCGAAAGCAATGCCTGTCTATGTGTGTGTCATACCAAGTCATAGCTTACTCATTGTATTTTGCTTATTGCAGTCATGTTGAACCACTGAATTCACCTAGACACATATTA